GTTGTTGTTGCTGTTGTTGGTGGTGTTGTTGTTGGAGCAGAGCACAGCGGAGCAGCAGCAGTAGATAGTTAGATAGCACATTACTAGGCCTAGCAGTGGCTCTGATAATTGATACTGGTACTAGTCACAGGTACAAGTAGCGGCAGTCGCAAAAGTTGCAGCAGTGGTTTTAGTGACAGTGTTGGTGGCAGCGGTGGGCGTCGTTGTGGATCGGAGCCTCTCCTGCTTCCAGTGCTTATCATTTCTATAGCCTAAGCCCTCGGCCTGGCCTTAGGACCTATAACATATGAAGGTGGGGTTTAGGATTTACGGTTTAGGACGCATTTAGGCCTCTCCTGTTCTCATTGTTCTTCTCCACCTTGAGCATCTTGTCCTTCGACTCAGCCACACCCGCTGCATTCGGGTCACCCTCACCTGGGCACAGTTTGGTGGTTTGTGGGGATGGTGGTGGCGATGGCACTATCAGTACTAGCAGCTGTCGTCGCAACCGTACAGCGGAAACAGCAGCAGTAGAAGTATTCGTCTGTCGTCGTCGTCTTCGTAGCCGTAGCCGTCGTGGTAGTTGTACTCGTAGCCCGTAGCCGTACTCGTCGTAGTACAGTATACTCGTCACGCCGTCGTCGTAATCGTAGTCGTAGTCGTAGTACAACTACTTGTACCAATACCTTTACATGCTACTACTTAGTGGTACGACTACTAATGACGATACTCCTCACTTCAGTCTGAGGGTGAAGAGAGCTGACTTTACCTGGCGGCGTCAGCAGGGTGGGCACTGCGTTGTCCTTCTGGACTCTTCTTGTGCTCAGCTTCGTTCCTTCTTAGAAGTTGGGCATACTGATGCTGTTGATCCGTAAGGCGGATTTCTGAGCTCCTACGTGAAGTGTAGTACCATGCCAGGAAAAGGGAATGGATAGCTAGCTGGAGCAGGGTCTCAAGTGCGTATCTCTTATACCTAGGCATTTAACAAGAACGGAATATGGCATGGCGAGGTAGGCATCGAGCATGGGCTGGACTAGCTGTTCGGGCTCCTAAGTGAAGGGAAGGAATATACCTGCACCCCTCAGCCAACGAAGAGCTACATCGTGAGGCTGAAGACTAACATGAGGCCGACGCACCCAACACCGTAATGAACTCATCTCAGAGCCTTACAGCCTAGCCTTACAGCAAAAGCGCTACACAGAAAACATATGATACCAAAAAAGTCGCAGTGAAAATAGCGCAAGCCAGTCATAAATGTACCGAAGCCTTTAAGTTGTAAGCCCCAAACCCACGAGAAACCGCAACATCTCCGCCTGACCTGCACCAAAGGCTTCGGCCGCCATGACTCGACGATTTATGTATGGGCTCAGCACGTGAAGCTGCGAGATTTATGATTGTGGTTTGAGGTTTCTGGGCGTTCAATACGCTAACAGTATCCAGGTTCATCCAGGTTCTTCAACAAAACCAGAATCAATAATACCCATTGCAGAGGCTCCTGCAATAGTACAATAGCAACACTCCTGTTCAAATCCTTCTGCAAAGGACCGGCTTGTCAGAATTTGGAGCGGCTCACCTGGGAGCAAGTTCTTCATGGCGGCGATCTCGTGGTCGTGCTTGTACTTCCTTAAGTGCTCTGCTGCACCATGGTCAAACCCAAAGACCCGACAAGTTCGGCTTGAGGCCCCGTACAAGTTTGTGCCCGGTGTTTACAGCGTGGCTTGAGGGCTAGGGGTGCAAGACAGACAACTGAGAGCTTCTTGTCCTCAGGGGCTGAGTACCGTAGCCCAGAAAAGGTTAACGTTTTGAGTTATAGTAGGATTCTATAAGCCCCCAAAAGGTTAAAGGCTACCTACTCAACCCCTAGGTGTCATGAACTGGCAAGAGCTACTCACCACCGCCTTTGGGGCCATTCCTCTTTGCCTTTGCTTGGCGCATGCTTTTAAAATTTTATGGCCTGAGCCAAAGGGTTAGGGTTCGGGGTGCCCGGTGCCAAGCTTTCCTGTCAGCAGCGTAAAGTCTAGGGCGACTCCACTTGCTTTAGGGTTTAGGGTTTAGGATTTCACACAGAAGTCGATGCAGCATGGGCGGTTTCGTGGCTTGGCATCCCGAAAGTACTGTTGCCATGATGTCAAGCCGATGTCGCCGGGCATGCATGCCCGGATTCAAGTGAGCTTGCCTGGGTCACTCTCCGAACCCATCGACAACAGTTCACACCGACCAGCATCCACACCTCCCCCATGGTGCGGTCACATAATGTAGGGGCCTTAATAAGGTTTTGGGGTCCTGTATAATATACATATAATAAGGAACCCTGAAAATAAAATAGATAATTAAGGCCTATATATCAGGAATAGGAAACAGCGGAGTTTGGGCTGCTTTGACGGCACCCTGCCTGTGAAGTTGGTCTTCTGACAGCCCTCAACTCCTCAACCGCTGAAGTCCCACATACCGGATGATCATGTAACCTACACTAACAAGAACCTAAACAATCCGAAGACCCGCAAGTATTGGGTACTTTGAACCCTTAGGACTTTTCCCCTATAGAACCTCTTATAGAGACCCAATCTCTAAGCCGCTTAATTATTGGATACTTTGGGGCGTTAGGACGGCCTGAAGGTAAACCCTAAACCCTCCCTAAACCCTAAGCCCTGCCTAAACCCTACATCCTCAAACCCTAAACCCTAAAACCCTAGACCCTGCCTAAACCCTAAACCCTGCCCTAAACCTTACATCCTAAAACCACACTTCGTCCAGCTTCTTCTTCAGCTCCTGGCGGGCGAACAGTCGCAGACAGCTTTCTGCGTGGTTAAGAGCCCTAACGGTAGGTTTTGACTCCTACGATTTGTTTGAGAGGCTCGTCCTCTTACTACCCTAAACCCTAAACCCTACTATCGTCTAAGATCCTATGAAGTCAGTGGGGCCTGACTACAACAGCTCTAGTGAGACCATCGTTCTTTCTGCTCGTAGAATCTTGAGCTGCAGCCAATAGGAACTTACTTCCCCAATCAGCCAGGGAAATAAAAGGTTAAACTTTCAGATTCCTACTGAATTCAAAGAACCCAAAAATTTTAGAGGTTTGGTATTGGAGAACTAAGAATAGGAACCAGGGACCACGGAGCACCTGGCCATAGTAGCCTTTCAGTTCAGCAGTCCCTCAAACCCGACATCGCTTCCCCAAGCCCCAAACCCTAAACCC